TTCCCCCTACTATGCTTCGTTACAGCTCTTGGGACCTCAGAGAAAATATATCCATTTCATCAACAAGACACACGGCGCACTTGATTCCCGGTCTTCGTGCCAGAGCCAGCAGAAGGTTGCCAAGTGAGACGGCCAGACTTTCTGAAAGTAGGGTTTTCGGTCTGATCGGACATTTCAAGGTGGAGGGAATCTGTAGACCGGCAATTCTGATAAAAGTAGAGAAGCGGCAAGCTTGCAGTAGGGCCATGGTCGCTCGTAAGACGTGCTAAGACAAACCCCAATAAAATTTGGACATATAACCTATTTTAAGAGGGCTTATCCGAGGTTGGGCTGAGGGAATCGAGTGCAGAGAATCGCGATTCGGGTGGGCGGTGCTCCTCCAGACTCGCACCGGCGATTCGACGCGATTCTGCCAGAATCGCGGATTCCCCCCTTCTCGAATCGTCTCCCGAATCGTTCCCTCGAATCGTCCACCGAACCGCCATCTTTGACTACCCCTAATATTGCGTCGCAAGTCGCGATGATTCTATCACGTGATATTGCCTAACTGGGCAGTGAGCCTGGTTGACAGGGAAGTCGCATTGAACAAAGCATCATCAAACAAACATCAGGCATCTAACCGGTGCAGCCACGTCTTTCGCGCGTCTCTCACTAGACTGACGACCACCACGTTCTAGCTTGTTTAACGCTGCGCTTGCCAACCACAATGCCGCGTTTGGCCCTTGACGAACCTGGAGCTGTCGCAAAAAGAGGAAAGCTTCCACAAGAAGCGAAGGATATCATGCATAGTAAGGGCTTTCGCATAGCCTCTTGTCTTCCTACTGTCGTTCTCAATATCACCGGCGGGTGCTCTAGGTTACTATCACCACGTCAGTCACTGGCCTGATGAAGCCACCCGGGTAGAACTCGCGGCAAATATTAGACTCGTCGGCGGACCCCGCTGTACGAATTACACCCAACATCACGTATACCAGTACTTTGCGAACCTCAGATTCAAGGCCAGGGCTGGAGTTCAACCCGACCTCCCAAGTGATGGTATGCCCATTTTTGAGTAGTGGCTGCTTGTTTACATCAGTGCATGATGATCATGGATGCCGGTATGCCGTCCCAGAAGCAGTCGTATACACCACTTCTCTCGACAAGCTTCTCCGCGACGAATCCGACCCATCACAAGAGATGGTAAGGATGTGGTTGAAAAGCCTTGACAACGGTATGACTAGCCAAGATGTCCTGGAGTATGCACTCTTCAGGAGAACTTGGCTGTCTCGCTTGGGTGACGGTGATGTTCACGTAAGTAATTTATGGGAAGTTCAATCTATGTATGCACTCATATCCTACCTCCGCATCCAACCGGACACCAGAATCTCGCATCGTATCATACAGCTGCTTTGAGTCTCTCAGATTGGAGAGCACTACGAAAGAGTCGCCGACAGACTTCAACCCTACCGTCGTCTTCCTCCTTAGCATACGAACGTGGAGAAACCTCCGAGTCAGAAACGGACAGGGAAATCCTGAGTTCCTGCAAGACTTCCTGCAAAGACGACCTGGTACCGCAGTCGCCATCTGGCACTTCATCCTCAGTAGATCCAACGTGCCTTGGCACAAGCACATCACGCGCACTCCCCGACCACGATGATGATCCTAATGCCAGGCGACGGCGACTTCCTCAGGAAGCGATTGACATCATGCATGGTTTGTCGTACTCCCACTCTGAGCCGAATTGTCTTGTGTGCGCTTTCTGACCATCCTTCCGCCAACCGAAAGATACTGGTACAGCGTCAGCCACTTCCCCGATGAAGCCGCACGGCAAGAACTTGCTGCCCAAATTCAGCTCGCCAGAGACCCCCGCTCCGCGCACTACACGCAGCGGCATGTCTACCAACACTTCGCAAACCTGAGGCACCGGCTGAAGACTGCTCGAGTACAGCCGAGCAGACCCCGTAATTGTATGCTTTTTACTAATCTGAGGCTGATTTTATGCTCACCGTGAACATACGAAGCCACCCGCGCCGTCCGAACCAGTGCTTTGTCAGACGCGCGGAGGAACGCGTCCTCTGAACCGTCTGCTGTGGGTCATAGTATACATCAGGAGGGTCTGGACCGCGAGGTATCTACTAAGTGTACATCGACTTCCGAAGCAAGCGATATCGACTGGCAAAACGTGAGTGGACTGTATTCGTGCGTCAATTCTCGCCTGTCTAAGCAACCCTCGCAGGTTGCGATCCCTCCAGCCCCTTCTCCAGACTTATCAGAAACTGGCTCAGAACTAAAAGGACGAGCAAACGGGGCTGAGAAACAGCCCTTGTCTCAATCTTACGCTCACTCAGCGGTCGAGGCTGGGCAGTGTCTGTCGACGTCGACCCCTTCTACCAACACTTCGTCTTCATCCCCACATACAGCTATTGTTCAAGACATTATCATGGGGCCGTATCCCCTCGCATCCCCTAGTGTAAACCCGACAGCCCTTGCTTCAAGGCTTCACGGCGCTCTGTTGGAAGCGACGACGGGGTGCCGGGGTCAAGATCCTCCGAAGTCCTTCTCTGAGTTCGGTGTGTGGCTTAGTTCACAGGCGTCGAATTGCACTGCTCTCTTAGAATGTGCCTAAGGTGTATAGGTCATGGCTACGGTCGTTCATGTCGAGGTCGGGCCTATTTCAATTATCGCATGCATGGAAACGTAATGATGGAGTGTCCTAGGTGTCGCGCCCAGAAGGTTGCGGCATCTATTCACTTCATCAGATGTGATTCGTTAGATACGAGGAGGTGCAACACGGAGCATGGAACATGAGTCAATTGAGCTCCCGAATCAATGCTGTGTGCCGGCCGTAGGATACCCCATGCTGGCCACTTCATAGGCCGCTCAGGGAAGGCCGCGTTGCGACAATCATCTGACACACGTTTGCCTCAGAAACCCGCTGTACGACCACGAAAAGGAGTAAAAGTGTTTGGAAGCCAGATACGGCATGCTCACCATCAGAACGAGGCCGTTCCGACGTTGATCCCAGTGATATTGATGAATCGCTCATTGCAGGGACTTGTCACTGAATGCATGGTATCGGGCTTGCCCTCCAGCGCTATCACTCGCATGCTTGGGTGCTGATTCTTTCAAGAAGTGGACGTGCCCGATGCCAGATCTGCCTGCAGAAAGATGCTGTTTCCTTCGAACTGAGTGCTCTGCAGCGGCCGGAAACTTCTTGGCAACAGACAACTGTTTGGTCGCAGGGTCAGACACTAATGGCGATGACTCCTGGACATCGTGGTCTGCCCGCAAGGCGTTACATGGCTGCCTGATGTTCTACAACATAGGCATCGGTGCAGTGTAGTCCGTGTGTCGCCACAGAAATGAGATACATGGAATCATTGTGCCGATCAAAGATGCAGGTCCGTTTATCGCATAGTACACACATCTCCACGTAACTCCTATGCTCGTGCATTCATAGTCCATGTTCCTGTCAATTCAGCATTGGGATATCGCCTTTGACCACGATGCATAGCTACTTGTAAACACCTGGGCCTTCAAATACTGGAGGGAGGTCGATCAAGGAGGTGCCATCCTTCAGCTGTGCTACTTTCACCATCATCCGAAACCCAAATGTCTTGGGCTCAATTACAAGCCGTGCTCGAGGAACTCAATTCCTATTACAACATCCAGTGAGCCTACATTCATTTAAGCCACGATTTATACAGCCGTTTCTGATATTAATGATGTCACATCTGTGCTTTATCAGGCTGGCGAACAATTACTGCAGCGTCTCCATCGCAGGTACTCCACGACCGACATTCGTGATCTCGTGAGATGTTTCACCGACCTTGTTTCACTTAGTATTCGTTATATATGACTGGGTAACAACTTTTTCGCAAGAAGCCAAGCTATATTGGACAGGGCACACCAAAGCTTTGTCTACCGCCTTGTACTTCGCAAACCGGTATATCATGTTAATTGTGCAAATCTGCACAATGTACAGCTTTGCTCCCTTATCAGACAAAGTGTGTATTCTCCACGCTTCTGTACCATCCTGACGCGTCGGATTAATCACCATCAGGGGTATGTTGTTGAACAATTGAGGGATTGTTCCGGCTGGACTAAATTGGAGTCCCTAGCTGCACTGGTCTCACGTTAGTGGCGGCTGTAGTCAATATTGTTGCGTTGGTTCCCCCGATACGTGAGTGAAAGTGTGGATTTCACTTGCGTCCCGTCGTCACACCAGGTATTTAGTATTCTCAGGGCTGCGTGCATATGCGCTCAGTGATAACTCGAGGTTATCCGCATCTATTTCGCTGCTATTGGCCGTTCAATGCGTGACCAGCCTGGTTCGTGCTCCATCGCCCTGATTACCACCCTGACAGCATACATGTTTACTGTGACCAGGTGCAATTCAAATACCACATCTTCGGCATTGAAGACCCCATCTTGGGCTGCCTGCCTTTAGAAGAAGCACCAAACACTCTGGGCAACATGTATGTATTGAGATCCTGTCTACTTCCTCGTAGGCTAATCCAACGAACGCACTGGAAGACGTACTTGCTTTCCTTCAATCTCCGGAATCGGTTTTGACACCTGGTTTACCCAGTCGTGATTACAAGCCGTGTGTGTACAGTCGTTGCAGACTGCGCACTAGTCATCATCACCTGTCGTTCGAGGCTTGTGCGGCGCACGCTAGGAAGCACGGATGTACCTCGCACAGGTCTTCCTCAGGTTATGTTGCGGGATGGTGCGCTCTCAAGTTTGATGCTTCCCAGTCTCCATCCTCATTATCTACACATAGGCTTGCTCTACTTCGTGTAGGTTCTTCTAAACTTATCAGGCCCACGGAGTCCATGATCATGACGTATGCGGTGGAAAGTGTACTCCTCGTACTGAATGTGGTGCAATTGGTGCTAGCGGTACAGTCTTCCGTAAGTCTAAATGCCGCCCTCTTTGGCAGGTGATGTCCAATTCTCATAAACTATCGAACCCATATAGATGCTTCTCAGCAGCGCAAATTCCCTCGTGTCGACATTCATAACGCCGTAAGTCCTAGTAACACCTTGGGTTCCCATCGACCGTTACAAGTCGTACTAATACATCTCTCTGATTGGTAGGCTTTCCTCAATACTAGTGTCTCATTTCCTTCTCGACCTACAAGCTGCTTATCAGAGGACGCTTGGCATGAGACCCGAAGACCTACCAGGGTCTTTAGGGAGCGTAGGCTCCGAAGCGCTCGACCTCAGAGTTCCTTCCGCTCTTGGTTCGCTGGCCGCCAACATCGACGTGCCTGGTCTAGACATCTCTGACAACTCTGGAGAGGAAGGAGCTATGGGCGGTGGCCAGGCGGTGTGAATCTCGCAGGATAACGAGGCCTCTCCCCATTTCATGTGTTCTGGTCACCACTGAATCATCGACACTAGCCAATCTTGATCCTTCGAATATTGGTACTAGTACATTCGGGCTTCACTCGCACCAAGGTCACATGTTGCTCATCCACTGCGTCTGATTTCCTATGTATTACAAGAATATCGCTCCATCTGTT